GTGTTGGGTTGACGGTTGGACTCGATGATCTTAGAGGTCTTTTCCAACCTCAATGATTCTATGATTCTATGATTATTATTATTATTATTATTATTTTCCGTTCCTTTTCTGTCCTATTAAGCTGTCTTTATCTCAACCCACGAATTTTACTTCCCCCCCGGATTCTCTCCCCCATCCCACTGGGGTGGGCGGAGTGAGCAAATGGCTGTATGGTGTTTAGCTGCCTGCCAGGTTAAACCACAACACTAAGTTACAATGACTCACCAAGAAAAGCCAGCTAATAAATTGGGATAAGGTACATCAAAGTGACTGTGCTGGCAGCTTCTGTTTTAATTACTTATTTTTTACAAAATAGAGTATAATTGGTAAATTGATCTTGTATACGACAATACCTTTCCAAAGTAATGAGGGAACTTGTGTTGATCTTCAATGACATGAGCAAATCCTCCTTGAAGGCCAAAGTCCACAGAAAAGTATGGTAATCCTTTAGGAACCTATACACACAAAACCACATTTTTAGATGTTTAACAGACTGTAGGCATTTAGTTAACCTCCCCACAACTTAATGAATTTGAAAGTGGTTTTACAGTTGATAGCATCACATTTTATTTTAAACCACCTCTCAACCCAAGTATGTGTAGTATAAAATTGCGACAGAGAACAGTAAAACAAACAGGCAATGAGAAAGAACAACACACAATGACTAGATAAAAAGACACTGAAAACTGAAAAGATGATTGCTGGGTGGCAGAACCTCCAGAGGACACCGCTGCAGCACCAGGTAAGAGGCAGGGAGGGTCCAGGCAGCAGCATGCACAGAGCAAATGCCTTCCTGACTCCATGCATCTGAATTACACGGGTTGAATAGAAATTTTAAGACAACCATCAGCAAGTTGCATTTATTAAAGACAAGGTGTTGTGTGATAACAGGAAATACTTACCCAGAGGAAATATTGACACTTGGGGGGAGGGGAAACCCTTCTATGGAGAATACGCTACCAGAAAACTCCACTACATGACTGGAAGTTATCATTAACTTGCCGAATCGGATAATTTAATAATTCAGTCAGCCTACAGAGGAGACACTGGTTATCCTGCCATAAGGAAAGACCCTTCAGCCTGACAGAGTGAGAAGTGGATTCATTTATTGCTACAGTATTGCAAGTAATTTCTGCTGTTTCACTGCAACAAGTTATTTTCCACTCTTTTAATTGTTGATGATGTTCCAGTACAGGTAAGATTTCCAAAGCCTCAAATTCATAAGCATTCCCTCTGCTACAGTCCAAATAACTGCACAATTTTCACAAGGCATGTCCCATATATTGCTTGAAAATTCGCTCTAAAAAGAATTAAGATTTAATACAGAGGGGCAATGTAGCATAGCAAGAAACAGAAAACATTTTAAATGAACTAAAAAAAATCATTAAATAAGGAAAAAATGGGTCGGCGGTTGACACCTTAAGGAAAATGTCAGCTTTAGCTTATCTGTGTCTAGCAATGTATCAGGTCTGGCTGGGATGGAGTTCATTTTCGTCACAGCAGCCCATATGGTGCTGAGTTTTGGACTGGTGACTAAACCAGTGTTGATAACATGCCAATGTTTTGGCTATTGCTGAACAGTCCTTGCTGCTGGGTCAGTTCTCCTGGCTGTGTCCACTCCCAGCCCACTGCCCACCCCCAGCTCCCTCGCTGCAGGAAGTAGAGGGAGAAGCAGAGAAGGCCTTGATGCTGTACGAGGGCTGGATGCTTAGGCTCTGCCTCTGGACACCACAGTCCCAATTTCTGCACACAATCCGCCCATTAGATGATGTCTCAGCCATGTCTGACCCTCCTTCCAGGCACCACCATCTCCTAATACAACTCTCCAACTTCCCAAACCTCAGCTCGGTCTCTAAACTATACTCTCATATCTTCCTGAAGGCTACAGGCATTTCTTTTACCCTAACATAATGTTAAAATCACACAACGGTGTCACGATTTAGACTCAGATGCATTTTATTAATTTAAAGAAGTGTCATGACTTAATCTGAAAACTGGCCTACCTTCAAATGGGTATATAATACAGTCACAAAAATGTATGGCTAAGAAGATTCTTAAAGAAATCAAATGTCCTGGTGCCCTACCATGTGTCAAGAAAATGATAATTCATTTATCTGTGACAGATACTGGCTTTCCCTGTTCCGAAACACCAATGAGCAGAAGATATCCAAAATGTACCTATTTTGTTCTCTGTTTACATCCACCTTAAGTTTAAAGTCTTCCCTAAGTCCTTGCTATAAATTAATTAAATTCCTTCTTGTGTGCACCCAATAGTGCTACCGAACAACTAACTACTATCTTCTTTAAAACAGTCTCCTATATACAGAAAACTACCATCACATCCCATTTCAGTCTTTTCTTTCCTAGACTGCACAACCCCTGAACCAGTTTCTTTAGTTAAGTTTTCCAAGCTATGCTCTCCTCTTCTGTAACTGTCTTAAAACAGTGCCCAAAATCAGACCCAAATTTTCCAGGTGAAGCCTCACCACTTTGAATAAGGTGACCCATATATGACATTTTAGCCTACGTGGCAGAATAAATTTTGTGGTTTTGCTACATTTGCTACCACTGTTGGTTTAGTTCAAGAGTCATCACAATATACAAAACCTCTCCTACTATACAGCCACCCAATCCCTTATTCTTCTGCATTTAATGTCTCTCTCTTTTTGTCATATCAGGCTTCATGTCTCATTATTAAAACCCATCTCCTCTTTCTCCTAAACTAGGATTTTTTTAGTGCAAAGGTGCTATATTTACTAAAAGACACTTTCAGAAATTAAGTATTATTACTACGTAGTAGTGAACTACTTGTGGTGAAGTCTATATGCCACACATCTTTCAGTTTAACATTAAAAAGATGGAACAATATTTGAACCTAAGTTTCAGCATTATTTCTTTTAAGATTTGTATATACAAAGATGTTTCAGTTTAGTATCCAGGAGACAGAGTACTGTTCCCTTGTTTTAGAAAAAAAGACTTATAATGCTATTTATATTTTCGCTTCATAAACTTAGCAACACAAAAGGCTGTTCTAGGTCAATGAAAAGGACACATCATATTTTTTCCAAGAAAGTAATTTGCAAATCTTTGATCTACCTTAATTCTTAAAGTTAATCAAGAAAATTATGCTGGTACATGTCCTCAAAGCGCTAGCTTTGTCCTCAACCAATGCTTGCAGCTCAGTCCACCTATTGTTGAAATAAATGGGAATCTTTTCCCTAATGTCATTTAGGAGTTCAGCCAGACCCTTAATTCTCATCATGCCTATGCCATCTCCTGATCCACTAATTTAATTGTGTTCCCTTTCTTCTCTCTTTGAAACAGTTAATAATGAAAAAAGATGAGAAGAATTCGCTGAGAAATTCAGTGTTCAATACATTTCATTACTTACAGATTTCCGAACATCTTTTGAAGAAAGATCAATTAACTTCTTGTTCACGGACCACTCTTCATCAGACTCCATTATAGCTTTCTGTAAAATCATTTTATCTAAAATGTGAAAATAGTCCTTCATACAGCAAGCAAAGAATTAACTTTTCAATATTGCATAGTACATTGCACTGCAAGTACCAATTATTTCTTAACAAAGTAACTTTATTTTTGGCAACCTTTCTGATTTCCAGAACTTACATACTTTATAAAGGCATCGTATAATATCCTCAAACTCACTTAAATTCTATTACTTTTTTTTTTTTTTAATTTAACTTCTGCCTGACACAAATTATCTCTAACAAGTCTCAACTAAAAGGTCACATTCTCTTTTTACCAAGCTCATACAAAACCTCTTATGAATTCATTACAGTATATTAGTCTTTTTTCTTTTTTAAACACTAAGAGGAGAATCCAGCTTAGAAGGCTGACTGCACTTAAAAACCTTTAAAGCTGCCTCTGTATCCTCCACAGTATGGAAGTGGGTGTAGTGTAGTATAGTGTAGGTACCTTTTAAATTTCATTTGCTGTATATTTTAATGCTGGAAACTTCTGAAAGAAAGTTTTATGCACATGATATTGCATTAAATCTTGTACTTCGTCTTTCCTTTAGCATTCAGACAAAACACAAGTTTTACCAGCACTTGAAGCATAGCAATGAAATCAACCAGGTGGAGAGTTTCAAATGTGGCAGAAGTTACTGCATTGCTGTTCATCATACTGACTGCTCCACTTCATCAAAAACCAATCATTATTTATTTCCAGAAAATACAAACAATATTTCAAAGAACAAATAAAATAATTTTCTTATAAAAGGCAAATCACGATCCAGTTGCTGAAAGTCGAAAGGCCTCAGTTCCAGGCAGAAGGTTCAATGAGCCTTTCCTTACAGGGTCAGTGGAAAGAGACCAGAAAAGCTATAGAAGAAATATCTATCATGCTGTCTAATGTTCATCAGAGACCTAAGACACATGTAAAGTTTGGGCCTACTGAAATAAAATGGGGATGAAACATTATATATTGGTATTTCTTAAAACAGTTGACACTATTTTCTCATTTTATTCTTGCCAAGGCACATGTACGGGGTTAAGTTTATACTACAGGACTTAAGTGAGAAGTATTGCAAACCTTACAGAACTTCAAGAAACTACAATTCTCTCATCTTCTTCCAGTAGTTGTCAGTGCAGTCAGACTTGAGGCAACTGCACAGTGACATACAGCTCCTCCACTGACTACTTGAAAAACAGAATGACCTCAAAGGGCTTGTTTTAAGATCAAGGAATAGGATCAAAGAATGGATCAGGAAGTAGGATCAAAGAACCCATCTTTTCAAAAATAGTACTTGGATATAAAAAAAAGTTTTCCAGAAATAGATGAATTATGATAAATACATTCAAATGACCTAAGAAAAAACATTTTTGTGTACCTTAAAGTAGATTGGAGCCACATCTCCTACTTCTTTTGGAAGAGGAATGCATTCGTATACCATATGATACCGTTTCTTCATATTCATGTTTGTTTCTAGGAACACACAGTCCAAGTCTTTAGCTTCAAACATTTTCACCAATGCATTTCTGAACATCTGTTTAAAGAAAAAGTGTAATTTGAGTTAGCTTTTCAAAGCTTTCAGATATAATATTTTGTATTATTTCACTAACATATTATATTCATAATAAACTCATAATAAAATGGATAACAGCAGCAATCATACTAGGAAAATTCCATATTATTCAACAATTTAACAGGAACTATATTTCCTAAGATACAAAGATAGGAAGTCTAGAAAACTATTGTGAAATACACATTATAATTAACACTACAAACTCAGTTTTCATTAATACCACATATTTTTACAGTTGAAATTAAAACTATGTTGAACTTCATAACTGTGATGCTCCATAAAACAATATGGCTTTAACAGTAGGTCCCAAGCTTACAATTTCTAAGTTAATGTCTTGGCTTGTATTGACTCTAGATACCATTATCCTTCCACTATTCATTCCAATTACACAGGTTTGTTTTTTTTTTT